AAACTGGCGTTCCCCGGGTCAATCCGGACCGCCCCTTCACCAGACAGACACAAGGACACGTGAGCCTTATAGATGACGCCTACGGTAGGTCAGCGGTGGGGGTCGCAGTGAAGGCCAGTCGTATCGGAGCTGGGGAGCGTCTTGCTGACGAGACGTTCCTCAACGCCGGACGAGTTTAGAAGCAGCTGGCGCTTGACCTCCACCTTTGACCTGTGATCCACAGACCTTGTGTCAGGTGTGCTTTGGAATGCTTTAACACTAACTAAACAAGCTTTCCTCTCGCTGTTCAGCTTCTGGTCTGTGGAGTCGTTTGGAGAACACAAGTTGCTGGGCTAGTGTACGGTTGAACTGAGCGATCTTCATAGTAAACACATTTAAGGGTCTATGATGGGGATGTGGGGTTTTAAAGGCAACAAAAATGACGTATTGCGCAATATATTTATATATAAATGTATTATATTCATATATATATAAATATATCGCATCTAACATTATTCATCACACACACACATTTACAAACTTATGTTAATCATGGTTAATTAATTTGACACCACTAAAATCTATATTATATATACTGTTCACCATCATTAAGAGCCCAGCAGCTTTTGCAATTTTCTTGCTAATCGCTCTTGAAATGATATTCTTGATGTTTCATGTGAATTTCACATTGTTTTTACCGTTTGGCCAAATTAAAACAGGATTTAATTCGTACACTGGAAGCACAACAGGACTAGGATCAGGAGAAGTTTACAATGACCCGAGAGAGAAGTGGATGAAAGGGTGAGTAGCGCAATCATGCACTTTTAATGTTTCTTAAAACCCAGAATGTTTGTATGATGCATTTAAACCAAAGATGTCATGCTGGGGTTGGACCATAGGCTGTGGTTTTCCTGTAATCCTCTACAAACATCATTAACCCTTCAGCAGTGGGTGTGGTGAAACACACAGACGAACCTGTCTACTTAGGACATTTATCAAGGCTTGCAATGATGTTTTTGATTGCAAAACTATCTTGGACCTGTTTGTGGACAGTTAAAGGATTAGTTTACCCAAAATGAAAAGTCAGTCATCATTTACTCACTCTTATGCCATTCCAAACCCACGTAATTTAATTTCTCTACTAAGGAACACAAAAAATGATGTTTTTATATATATTATAAACCTGGCATGATACTATGGAAGCGTGTTTCAGCCTCGGAATAAAAATATATAAAGGTAATTGTGATTTATACAGACTTTTTTCTTGCAGTTATGAGTTTATATCTCGTAATTGGGACGTTTTTTTTCTCAGAATTGCAAGATATAAATGCTTAACTAAGTAAAAAGTCAGAACTGTGAAATGAAAAGTTATAAACTTGGAATTGCGATATAAAAACTGTTTCCACTGTTTATCCTGAAATTCCAAAAGCCTTTTTAAATAGTAGTTTATCTCATAATTTTCTAGCAATTGTGAGAATTTTTTTGACTAATTGCAAGTCAAATGTGATTTTATTACTATTTAGCCAGTTCATAACGTGTAATTCTGAGTCAGAATTGCGATACAAACTCGCAATTGTTTGATAAAGTATGAATCGAGGAAAAAGTCACAATTACCTTTTTTAATTGCATTCCGAGAAAAAAAAGCCTGAATCGCAATTGCGACCAAAAATATGTGAAAAATAAAAGCTTCCATACAGTTTGATATGCAATATTTAAGTCGGAAAATGGATGAAATTTGTATTCTATCCTTTTGTGTTCCACATGAGCGCGAGTAATAATAGCGGGTGAATAATTTCTTAAAGGGATAGTTCACCCAAAAATGAAAATTCTGTCAGTATTTACTCACCCATGTTGTTCCAACCTCGTAAGGCCTTCGTTCGTCTTCCGAACGTGAATTAAGATATTTTTGATGAAATCTTGAGAGCTGGATCACTCCTCCATACTAGTCCATTGGCTTCTTGAAGGATTGAAACTTTCCAGCCTCGAAAAGTTATTAAAGACATCGTTAAAATAGTCCGAGAGACTACAGTGGCTCAATCTTAACTTTATCAAGCGACGAGAACACTTTTTGTGTGCAAAAACAAACAAAAATAACGACTTTATTTCAACTATTCATTTCCATCTCTGTGCGCCTCGAGTTAGTTCACTAGTTTAATAGCATAAGCATCTGTTGTTGTACGTCACACGCATCACACACACATGACCAGCGTCAGCCAATAGTGAGCCTATGCGTGACGTAGCTCTACGCTATCACACTAGTTTAACTTACTAGAGGCGCAAAGAGAAGGAAACGAATAGTTGAAATAAAGTCGTTATTTATGTTTGTTTTTGCATAAAAAGTATTCTCGTCGATTGATAAACCTAAGATTGAGCCACTGTGGTCACTCGGACTATTTTAACGACGTCTTTAATAACTTTCCGGGGCTGGCAAGTTTCAAAGTATTTTAATTCATGTACGAAGATGAACGAAGGTCTTATGAGGCTGGAAAACATGAGGGCGAGTAAATACTGACCGAATTTTCATTTTTGGGTGATCTATCTAGCCTGGGGAAACCCAGACAAATTCCAGCAAATTTAGATTTATAGCAAAGAGCTCATTCAAGCCCATTTCCAATCCGTCGAATTCGCGGAACCAATCAGAAGCGTTGGGGCGGGCTTTACACGATGACGATAGCGCTGGGATTTTAAAGCAGATTTTGTAGCTTACATTACAAAGATGGATGCCGCCGTCGGACATCACTCGTTCGAATCGGCTATCGCGTCTGTTTTAAGCGATTTAAACGTTTCCTTTTTGTTAAAAAACGAGCAACTCTCTGAGATGTTTCTCCACCGCTCTGCATATGTCATCTCCTTCATCGCTCTGATTGGTTTTAGGTCTATCCGCGACGTTCGTTGGTGACGCCCCTCTGGAAATGATTTGTCTATGACGCTTTGCCAGACCAGACTGACCAGACTATGAACTATTCCTTTAAAGCCCGCATTGCTCACACATGACTGTGTTTGATTTGCAGCGGCCCCGATCAGGAGAACACAATAGGCGGAGCTCCAGAAAACATGTCATTTAAGGAGCGCCAGAGACTCTTCTCACAGGGAAAGGAAGTGTCGAATAAAGTGAAAGCGTCCCGGAAGCTCATGGAACTGGAGAACGAACTGAACATAAAGCAGTAGCGAAGAGCCCTAGCCGGACTAATTGCCAACACGTGATCCATCCTTGGAAGAAGAAAAAACACACACAATTTCAAAACGCATCCAGCTTTGGCTTCCCAGTTATTTCCAAACATACTTTTTGGGTTTTATTGAATAACTCAACGACTAAGTATCATTTAGCTGCAATAAGAGATAAATTCCCTCGAAAGATATATTATAATAAAGCACTGTAAATTGTTTTAATTATATTAGTAAGAGAATTGAAATGACATGAAGGGGGTATATTTTTGTTTGTGAAATGTTATTGAAAAATGACGCATTTTTTGCTCATTTTATTTTTTTTAATAGGCAGTAAAGTGGGATATTTTATGGTGTTATTTTATTCTCTTTCTACTTCTTTCCTCTGTTTTCTTTTCTTTTGAAAGTAAGTGCAACGTTAACCGCTCTCCGTACAGATCAGGGTCCGTGTCGGTCCCGGTGTATTATTGAATAGTAGCGTGTGAACGAAAGTTGTATAGGAGGCTCGCGGTTTTCTTGTCGCACTCTTTATTTCATTTTATCTTTTCCAGCTGGTTCTTCCGCGTTCATGGATACACGGGCACCTTTCCGCCACGTCTCGTGTCTGCATTCGCTCAGAAATGAGCTCTCGTAACCTTGTTAGCACCATTTGTGAAATTCAGTTTTTCCTTTTGAGAATGTAGTCGTTTTTTTTTTTTTTTCTTGAATATTTTTGCTGCATCGTCTGTCATTCCGTAAGAGCGCTGAGGTTTACCACTTTTATAAAATGTTTAGAATTTTCTAATTGCCAGATTTTCCTTTTTTTTTGTGTGTTTAACTGATCCGGACGACGTGTTGTCCACAGTTCTGACGTTGACGAAAACAAAGTTTGATGGTAGCATAATGTTAAAAAGAGATGATTTAAATAAAGAGGTTTGTGGAAATGAGATGCAGGAGCCTTTTGATTAGCAGGTATTTATTTGAACCTATTGATCTAGTGACAGATTTGTTTGTATTTATAAGTCTGCAGGTTAAATTTGACGGATGAGCGACAAACGTGAGAAACGAGTCACTATTCACTGTTTCATGGTGCATTAAACGGCTTCCCTTAGCTCAGTATTGCAGATGTTTATTTAAATCCAGGATCTGGTCTTGTCTCTTCAGTTTTTAAGCCCCTGTGTCTTTTCATTCATAGTTTAGACCTGTTGGCGCCTGTGTAAATAATTTTCCAGAAAACACAGACTTTGTACATTCAAATGATGCATAAGGGTAATGTCAATATCCTTTCTTTTTTGCCACTTTGAGAAACATAAACTGACACATATGCACACACATTTTAGGTTAAAGATGAATTTATTTGATTCATTTTAATGGTTGTTACATAGGCTTTTGTAAATCATAAATAAATACGGATTTTACAAAAAAAGCTGAAGAAGTGTCTATTTTGTGTGAAACATTCATCATATTTAAATATAGGCCTATATGTTTATTTATATTATGTTGATTATGCTAGCACAATAATTAATTTTTTATTTGTTTTAATTATATTTTTATTTAATTTCAGTCGATATTTTACGGGGAAAACGGTAAAATATATGTTGCCTATTTCAGTATTAAAATTATGTTTCTGTTATTTTACAAAAAAAACGGTCAAAATATTTATATTTTGTAGCAATTGTTTAAATTTTATATATTAAGCAAAAAAAAACATAATAAATTAAGGGTTTGATTATATTATTTTATATTTAATTTATAATTTCAAGCCTTTTAATCATACTTTCATTGTAATATCAGGAAAGTTATACCCGTTTTTCTACTTTGCCCCACAAACATCACAATAGATTTTAATTTAGAAAAGGAAATTGGAAGAGGTGAAATCAAGCTGTTGTGAATGAGCGTTACTTTTTAATGCATTTTTTAATCAATCATTAGATCTGAATACAAACAAAAGCATTATAGACCCAATTAGCATTGCATTCAAGATTAACTGGACTGTTAAATAGAAGTAGACTTCATGTAACATGATCCTAATCTGCATTGTGTATTAATATCAGAGTTATTTTATAAAGGTAGGAGTACAGCTTATCAAATTCATGTTTTCTGTATTAACCAACACACCCAAATCATCGGTTATCTAAAGAGTAGGTTAGGTTACACAAGTGTGTGTGAGAGAGAAAGATTTAACACCTGGTGAAGAACATGGATCAAAGAAGACATCTGTCAATGTAGAATATAAATGTGAGTGTGGAGATTTAATGTTTTAGAGAACAGTTTTGAATGTATTTGTGAAACTCTATCACTACTTTCTCCTGGTCTTCTGTCTCAATGGACCCTTTCCGAAGTCTGCGGATTTCTTTGATGGCTTCCAGACCCGAGATGTTCCTTGTTTTCACCAGATAGCAGGCTAGCATGGTCCCTGTCCTGCCATGACCATGCATACAGTGAACCGCAACACCCTGAGGACGAGAAAGAGCCAAAATCAGGTTTCATCAGGTTGACAACAGTTTATGAATAGCCTACATTTAATATTTTGTTGATCCATGATATTTTTACATAGGGCATTAAAACACTACATAACAGATAAGTAGAACTTATTACATTACAATAAATATGTTTTACAACACAACCGTTTAACTATATAACTATATCTTTGTCGTTTTATTTATTTTTTTTTTTTGTCGTTATCTTTAGTTATCTTTCTTGGTGTGAACGGAACGGGCCTTTTAAGCATTTTAATAATACAAAAATTGATTTTGATTATGTGTATATTGCATAAAACGAAAAAGAATACAAATGGACATAGATCCAACTTATATGAATTTAAATATCTTTGTCGTATAAGTGGTCTATACTACTAATTGAATATTTTATATTATATATGTGTGTGAGTGTGTTAGTTCAATTTCAGATTATGTCTTACAAATTTACCATGGGTAAAAGGTATAAGTTGACAACACGACAAGAGACAGTAAAGTATCGGTAGCTCAAGCACTCAGCGGTATCACGTGTCTACCGTCACTTTTCTCAGCGTTTCACTCATCGACCAATTGCATTCATTTATGATTTTATTTTATTATTTTTTTTGTACGACTATACTTTTTTTACGTAGAAATGTCCCCCCCAAAAAACGTAAAAATTACGCTTTTGGCTTTTAATCCGATCGTGGATCTATTAACTATAAAAGTGTTTTCCACCCTCACCTGTCCTTTAGCATTGGCTTCCTCCACGATGCTCAGGAATCGCAGTATTTGAGCCAGACTCGGTGGCGTGAAGTCCACTATGCTGATGTGATGCAGGATGAGCTCTGGACAGACCTTATAATTCGGTGGGATCGATTCTAACAAGCACACCAGGTGTTTGATGCCATTCTCCACCAGGAACTTGAAATGCTGAGCCTCTGAAGGACACGCCAGTCCGGCGAGTTTCTGAGGTTGGACCCACGAGAAGTTCGGTGGAGTGACGGAACATGCGCGCGACATGTCTAGATCATAGACAGTAAAAGAAAGGTCTTGAAGAAGTTCTGCTGCTGTAATGCCCGTTGATTTTTCACATCAGCTTTTATAAAGCCAATAACCTGAAGATGAATCGGGCGGCAAGGGCGTGCCCGCTGTGACTGTCAAACAAGCATTGCGCAACAGGTTACTACTTCATCATTCATGTAAGTAACTTACTTACACACTAACAAAAAATGGCATGTTATACCTATACGGAGACCAGGATTTGCTCCTGTGAAAATTTCTCGGCTACAGTACAAAGTCTTGGCTACAAAAAAACAAACAAAAAAAAAAAAACGTGCAGACCATATTGATATTGAACAACATTACAATAAAAATTCTTTTTTTTAGCCTTTTAATTATATTTTTTATTAAATTATATAACAACAGTTACACCCAATTTTCTACTTTGCCCAACAAAAATCACAATACATTTTAATTCTGAAATTGAAAACATGTTAGAAAAGGTATAATCAAGCCATTGAGTTCTCTTTTTAAAGTTTTTGCAGAAAAATGTCAGCATGAATGCATGTTATTTTTATGTCAGTGTAGTTGTATTGTGTTTATTTATTTAAGATGCAATGAAAATGATATATTAGAAAAATTCATATTGAATATAGACTTTTCCATGACCATTTGAGATTTTATTAATTATGATTTTTCTAGGCCTGAAAATCACACCTTTGCCATTCCCTGATATGACACTAATTGTTTAGAATGGATTTCCCTCTGGTTGTTATTGAGGGTGGAGCTGCCTTGAGCTCCTGATCTAGACTGATTGACTTTTAATAAGACACTGACAGAACACCAGGTTACATCAGGTTTAGTATTTTGCATGAGCTTTTCATAAAGCCCAATTCACTGCCAAACAGAGGAGCAATGATATCAGAGCAAGACTTTTGATGGCACAAGCGCTCATGCAGGGTTCAGACGGCATGACTTTGAGATCAGGAATCATCCCTTGGTTGAGTGATATGTTTTTCTGGGAATACACATTCACCACACTGTTAGGCGGTAACTTAGAAAAATGAGAGGTTGATGCATGTTGTAGAGGTGTGGACACTTACAAATGAATCCGCAATTATGACAAGCTGATCGATTTTCTTCAGTGTTTGTTGGTATTTATTGATAGACGTGTCATTCCAGATCATGTTGTTCATCATGTTGAGCCAAGCACTGCAATTATCAAATAAAAGCCAAAGTCATTATTGGGGCTAAATGGATCACATTTGGATGACACTAGTGTTTATAAGTGAATTACTTTTGACTTGGTGTTCCCATCTCAGATCTTAAAGTGGTTAAATTAGGGAAGCTCGCACAGGCGCTCAGATTCATAGCTGGATAGTAGAAGAGGAAAGCCAAACACATCTCTTCTGAAGTCGAGAGCCCCCCCTGTGGGCAAAACACACACACACACAAAAGACATTTCAATGTAAAGAAGCAGTTGAAATGTGAAGTTGCATGAAGAAAAGTTAGATAGTTGTACCAACCCATGTGAGTGTGGTGCGGGTTTCAGTATTATAAGTACACTCCACCAGCAATTTGTCACCCTAAAAGAGAAAAGAGATGTTTTATTTTGCTTAATACTTATAATAATTATGAATTAATAACTAAACCTCCTTTAGACAAGACAAGACCATTGTTTTTGACTCGACTATAAGCATGATGTATGGCATTGTATTTAAATCCCTGTAAAGTGAGCAGCACCATGTTAAAGGGATAGTACTCCCAAAAATAACATCTTTCCAAACCCGTAAGACTTTCGTTCATCTTCAAAACACAAATTATGCAAATTAATACGCATTTTTGATGAAACTGCAACGTTATTACCACTTTCAAGGCCTATAAAGGTAGTAAAGACAGCGGTTCAACTTTAATGTTATGAAGCAATGATTTAATGTTATGTCTCGGGCGCTGTTCACGTTGTAAACACAGTGCAGCGTTTCCGGTTACGTCAAAACGCCGGCTCCTGCGTCAGCATCACACGCATGCGTCGTGGTGTTTAGGGATGGGCGGTATATCATCGTTTGCGATCATAGACATATAAGCTGTGTCTGAAATCGCTCCCTATCCACTAAATAGTGCACTATATCGGGTGTCGGCCATTTTGTAGTGGTGTCCGAATTCTGAGTGAACGATCATTCCCTACATTCATTCACTACTTTTACCCACAATCCTCTCTGAATTCGAGTGTACATTCGATGTACACTCGCTGAAGCCCTATTTCCCACAATCCAATGCGGAGAGAACTGAGCGTGCATGAAAGTTCGGCGCGAGCAAGTTTAAACCAGAGATTACATTACATCCAGTGGAGGATTTGAAAAATATCCGTTAATCGTCGTTTTGAACATAATAACGGTCGCCGGAGGGCGCTCGACGACACGTCATCTGTGAACGTGAGAGTTAATGTACAATTTCAGTCGATGAAACTACAAAGCTGGCACGGAGGTATAATTACAAAATAAAGTCATTATGATTGTTATTGTTGTTAATATTATTTTATAAACTAGGTAATGTAAGATATAAGGAGTTTTATCAGTACGCGTGACGAAGCCTTTTCTGCGACAGCTCCAACTCTCCGACGCACAGTGTAAACGTCAGCGTCCGAATTCACTCACTTCATCTCCTTCACTCCTTGCAGATATAGTGCACTCAAATGCCATACACTATATAGGGATTAGTGAATGAGTGAACGAGTGAGCGGTTTCAGACACAGCTATACACTAGACCTCACCTTGGATACGGCAGTTCATTAGAACGAATGCGTCAATAGAGCCGCCATCTTGAAACAGGGGAGCCCCTCCACTTTAATGCATCAGCGTCAATGTAGTAGACACAGGTCTAACGCAAATAAAATCACCATAAATCATCATTAATGCGATTTTTATTGTTTTTTTGGTTTGTTCCAACGGTCAGACATGTATTTATCATTGATTCCAGAAAGAATTTTTTTTTTTTTTATTTAAAAAAACAAAACAAAAAAAACATTCTTCCTAGTTCAGATTTCATCCGTGAACTTCATACGCTGCACAAAAGTCCGCCACCATCAATGAATTCGAAGTAAAGGCAGAGATAGCAGCGTTACCTAGCTACTTCCTATGACAAGACCCCTGTTCCAAGATGGCGGCGGTTTTGACGCATGCTTAGAACCCCCAGGTGAGATCTAGTGTATATGTCTATGGTTTGCGATATACTGGTAAAATTTTTCCTCGCGATAACAATTAGTCTTCCCGCCATAATAACGAGGTGAAGTTTATCGCTAAACGAGTAACTAACATTACCTCTACAATCTGGAACTGGTACACGCACACATAGATTTTCACCCACCCATCTCGCCGAACACTGACTGAGCGCTTGAGAGTTTCGCTCTCTGTCAAAGTGATCCGTACCAAGGGACGATGTTTAGATTTGTACTGTTTTTAAAAAGTATTTTATGTACGGTAATTGGTATTTTATAGAAGCCAATTTGATGAAGGGTACATTTTACTTTGTATTATATTTATATCGTCATTGATATCGTTATCGCAATAAATGCCAGAAAATATTGTGATGTATAAGTCCATATCGCCCATCTCTAATTTCACATATTTGAACAATGTCTTTACTACCTTTCTGGGCCTTGACAGTGGTAACTGCGTTGCCGTCCATGTGGGATCAGAAAGCTCTCGGATTTCATAAAAAATATCTTCATTTGTGTTCCGAAAAGGTCTTACCTCATCATTTTACACTCACCAACTTCACTGTCTTAGTTTTGCCCAAGTTTGTCACTTCCTGGTATTCAAAATCATAGTTTTCATCCGCAGCTAAGAAATCGATCTGTTTTTCTCTTCTGAAATAGACATCAACATACTTAACATGTTTTGCTTTTCCTATAGACATTTTGAGCAATGAAAGATAATAATAATACGTTTATTTTAAGATCAATATTATAGTATGTAAACACGACAGCAGGCAAAGAGACAGTACAGATAGGGCAGAAAACTACATGCATAACATGAAACAGATCATAAAGTGAGGGATCAGAGAAACTAGAAGTTTTTTTTTTTAACTAGAAGGATTTCTCCGGGTCAGAGGCTCATTAGAAAAATGAAAAAACTCTAATTTTATGATTTTTCATTTTGATATTCCAGTGAGCTTTAATTCAGTTATTGATCCGAATACATTTACCTGAAGTGTCCGACTCGCACTTTCCGTCCAGTCAAGTGTGTGTGCAACATCACAGAAAACACCTGAAGATCATTTGGTGTCTCCAGAACCTGTAGATAACAGAACACAAGCGATCATCCAGTGACCTGCTGAGTCTGCCTTTGATTGTGAGAAAGTGAGTAGCTAACACATGCATACCTGTGGAATATAGGCAGTGTCACACAGGCCGTACGTGAGGAAGGATTTAGCTTTGGGTGGGATGGCGTACCCAGGGCCCAAGTTAAGCCCTGTCATCAGAATAGCTGCATCATGCTGACGGAGTTCAGATGTGTAATAGAATCGCAGACCCGAGTTATCAACTCGACCTGCACTTTTATTTGGGTTGTTGTAATGCACTTCAAGCCTGTAGAAAAAATCTCCAACATTTCCTCCAATTGGAAGTCCTGCCATCTCAGGGAGTTCAAAATCCTGAAAGAAAGGGATATAAAAAACGAAATATTTTGATCACTCATATTCCATATTAGCAGTGTCGTTGTTTTAGGGCCACCACTAAGGATTCTACTAACCCATATTTGAGAATCGGAATATTAGATATTAGTCATATTTCAAAATAAGACGACAATTGTTCAAGCTAAAACCAAGAGGTTTATTTTCTAATAGCTAAATGGACTCTGTGTAATATTGAAGACAATGAACAAAATTAAGACTCTTGATGAATTTAAAACCAAGAAGGTTTATATCTTAAAGCTTAAAGGAGTAGTTCACTTTTAAAAAAAACTTTTGCTGATAATTTACTCACCCCCATGCCATCCAAGATGTCCATGTCTTTCTTTCTTTAGTGGAAAAGAAATTAAGGTTTTTGATGAAAACATTCCAGGTTTTCTCCAGATTTTTCTCCATATAATGGCCTTCACTGGGTAGGTGCAGAAGGTCCAGATGAGAGTTTCAGTGCAGCTTCAAAGGGCTTTAAATGACACCAGCTGATGAATAAGGGTCTTATCAAGCAAAACAATCGCTCATTTAATAAATAAATAAAAAACTTTACGTTTTATAAGCACAAATGCTCGCCTTGCTCTGTTCTG